GCGACAACCATGAGGATAAACTGATTTCCTTTGGTTCTATTTGTGGTTGTGCTGTTTTGGATATTACCCAAAGTTCATGACAACAGTACATTGCAGGGTGAAATCAGAAATGTGGCTTCCCTGTCCCTATGCCAGGAGACTATTTTACAATTACTGTGCCTTGATGTCCTTTCCAAAAATATCACAAACAGGAGTGGAGATAAGATGGATGCTTAGCAAAGACTGCCGCCTTTGCGCTGCGAGTTCTTCATACTCCTGAAGCATCTCTGGTCATAAGCTCTCTCTTTGTCAAAAATATACATTTAGACTGGTTTGATAAACTCCCGACACTAAAAGGATGCATACATTCGTGTTTTGTTGGCATCACTAAGTACCAGCTGCTACCAGTTTGGGCCATCTGTTGATTTCAGAAGGATCCGTCATTGTATTCTGCTCAAAAATTGGAAACAAGAAAACTTTGCAGCTTTTACTCACAAATAACTCTGGGATAAAAACAAATGAATCATTTTCAGTTTTTTTCTGTTAAAACTTTTTAGATCTTCACTGGTGCTTAATGCCTCCAAGAATTAGTCATATGCAGTCTTGTGCACACAAATGCTTTTGACTTTTATGCTCTTACATGACATCATCTAGACTTGCAAAGCAAATATAGTTTGCATTGGCAGTGCAGGTGGTTACTGAGTTTTTGCCACTTCAGTTTTTCCCATATTAGAGATGCTCAGCTGGCTTTGCAAGATTACCCACTTGAAGTCTTTGACGTGTTTCTGATCATTTCTGAACTTTTTCTTTTTCTTTTTTTTTTGTTGCTGTTGTTGCATTATTAACTTGCTAAACGAGGCTTTATTCCGTGAAGTGGTTGAAATGAATGCTAAGTTAGGTGGTGCAGGTCAAACTTTCACCTACACGAATGCACGCAACACTTCTCCAAGGATCACAGAGTCTTATAAAGGTGCCATTAAAAGATGATAATCAATGATACTGAGTTCATCTGTTTTGGCTGAGAGACATAAAATAATCTACAGTAAGATTCTGGTTCTAATTTGAAATTCTTTAATAATATGGTCATCAAACATCCACGATGTGATTCCACCTGGAACGGTAGCACTCCTTGCCGTCCACTCACTTTTGTTACATCTCTCCAGTAAACACAGAAAAATTAAAACAGGTTTGAAAAGCGTTTGTGCCTTTTTTAGTTTTCGATCGAAAAGAAAGGTGAAAAAAAGAGGAACAGACCGCGTTCTCTATCTGGCATCTTAATGTGCGAATGAACATGGCTCAAATCTTTCTTGTGATGTCTTTGGCTGATAAAAGTGATTCTAGTTACAACGTGTCACTGTGAAATACAAAATAGGATGTACTTGGGTTTACTTTCTGTGGGAAGAATATAGTCTAGGTGGAGAGTAAGAGTCGATATATCCATAATCACAGCTGTGATGTTATACCAAGTAATTGGTTAGCTCACTGTGATGTTATACACCCAATAAAAAGCAAGTGGAAGCCATGCCAAGTCCTCTACCTGTGAAGAGAGTGGCTGAATCAGTGGCAGTGATCTGTTTGCATCAAGATGACAGACACTTCAGTGTGAGAGCAGAGCCAGACAGACACTCTCTGTAATTTGGATGATGCTTCTCAGTGTGGGGTGCCAGAACAAGCGGGAATCTCCATAAATGCTTGCTCACATTGCAGCCAGAGGTGTCCCAATTATTTATTTTCCCTCACAAGACAGCTGTTATCTAATCAGTATGAAAAGCAAAATGTTGCATAGAGTGTCAGATTTTTAATTTACAATCTGGACCACCAGGTTATTGGGTGCAGAATCAGATCTGTGGCTGGCAATAGCTTAAAGGACAAGACATGATCTGACTCATTGAAATTTTACATCCTCCTCAGCACCAATTACATTCTACACACATAACCGAAAGGTGTTAAAAATCTGATGTTAAAATGTTGGCGTGAAAGTGAAGGTGATTCATTTCTTTCATTTAAGCTTCATTGTTTTTGATTTTGTGTTGTTGCTGAATGTGGATTATACTCTTAAAGGCACTGAAAGAGCAAAAACATGTTGCAATTTTCCAGCTGGATAGGACTATGATGTATACCAAATCCTAGAAGAAGAAAGCAACCAACCTGAAAAGAGGTTGCCTTTTTTTGAATGTTATCAGTAACATACATTCCACCAGAAGGTGACTTACTGCTAAGTTGCTGTGAACACATTCAGTGGTGGCTGTTGAAAAGTGTTTCTAGGTTTAAGTGCCAACAGAAGCAGACAGTAAGAGTTAGAAGAGATAGTCAACTGGATCAATGGAAGCTGACATTGAACTGTAACAGTTAAAAGTTTGCAATACATGCAATACATTATTTGGGCTCTATTGTATGGAAGCCCATTTCAGCCACTAAAAAAAAAAAAAAGTATCCATAACTTGAAATTTCAAGTTTTCTTTCTTGAAATTTCAACTTATTAACTCAAAATTTCAAAATTTTGACTTACTTTTCTCAAAATTTCGAGTTAGCTCTGCCAATCAGTAATCTACATGAATGACGTCATTTCCTTGTTACCCGGAAGCTGAAGCCCTCAGCTACAAATGCTACAGCTAAGCTACCAGCATTACAGCCATGAATGCACAAATTGCTGAGTATTTTCAGTGTGGCTTCACAAATGATGAAATCTTTGTGTTGTTAGCTGAATCACATGGCATTACTATCAGCCAACGTACTCTCGAAAGCGCCATTTTGTTGTGATGCAGTTTTAAATGCACATTCCTCTGCACCATATCCTTCTGGGTAACAAGAAAATGATATCATTCACGTAGATTACTGACTAGCAGAGCTAACTCGAAATTTCGAGAAAGAGAACTCGAAATTTCGAGTTATGGATACTTTTTTTTTTAGTGGCGGAAATGGGCTTCCATACTATTTAGCTGAGTTTGCTAGCTTACAATAACATTTGGAAACCACATTTTTCACATAGGTTTTCACATAACCATTAGATGGCTACATTATCTGTGCCACTCTGTGTTCATCGGTGATTATAAGTAGATAATAAGCTGCTCAAACGTAGAGGAGGTGCCTATTAGCAATATGCATGGGACTGATACAAAGTGACAAGTCATTAAGTGAGCTTTTTTTTGGTGATGACAATCACAAGGACTTCAGCCAACCAACCACACGTTCCAAATCTGTAATCTCTCATTTAAAATTCATTTGACAAGAGAACTTTGACAGGAAAACATGAAGCAAAGAAAAACCCAATTAACTGGCAATCATAATCTGACAGAAGAATTACTTAGTAAAAGGTGTAGCACACATGTAAGCCTTATGACTGGCACAGTAGAAAGCCTAGTTGGCCCACTACTGTTTTAGTTCTATTTTGGTTTTTTTTGTTTGTTTTGTTTTGGGGTTTTTTAATTGAGAAAATTATCCACCTATGCTTACTACGGATGCTGGTGTTATGTCTGAATGTGGGAATGGCAAGAAAAAAGAAAGTGGAGCTAACTTACTAAACCATTCGTTTGGCTGTGTTTCCACAGATGACTGCAGAAGCAATTCTCCGACTGGTCAATGATCCCGTGCTGCCATTTTACCCTCTAGACATCGCCCTGGATGTTCAAAACAAGCTCAAAGGTAACACTGATGATCATGCGTTTTCAACTGCGGTGATGATAAAATACAGTCTAGTGGTATGTGCATGGAGAGAATGATGAGGCTAGGTGTACTATATACTGACTGACTTCCACTAAAAAGCACACAAACAAAGGTAGCAAAAAAGTGTGGCGCATTTTGAAGATGAAGAGTTTCGTATTTCTTTCAGTTGTTATGGAGAACAAAACAGAAACAAAGAAGAAAAGTGGGCATAAGCAAGATAATATCATAATGTGATTTTCTATTTGTCTGCTGGATGAGTAAAAAGGAGATTTGCTTCTTCATATCCACATATAGTAGTGTGCAAAGTAAAAAGGAAAAATAACAATAAACAGAGTTGTGGTTTTTATTTTAAAAAAGAGACTAATTATTTGGCATAAGATGATCATTCAGTTTGAAAACAAGTAGCAGTTATGCCTGAGTATCTACCGCTTTAGACAGACATAACAATGAGTTAGGAATAATAAGAATCTGAGTTCAATAACTGTATTTCTTTCTTCTGAATCCAAGGTAGCTAATATTTAAGCAAAGGGCTCTGTAGTCTGCTTTTCAGCTCTTTATGTCAAAATTGGGCAGTTGCTGTCTGTGTGTTTAGCTAACAAGCCAAAGGCCAGTTCATACAATGTGTTGAGACCCACAGGCCTGCAGCGGTGCAGCTGTAAAAGATAGCCTACTTAAAACATTTTGTTTTATGTATCTGTGGGAGTGTTCATGTTGGTTGTTGGGGAGTGTAAATTAGGAAATGATGCATAAGGTGACTGGCTGTTCTGTGGAAATGAGTTATGCATCTGCACAGAAGTCCATGACAGCAGCTACTACACACACACACACAACAGAGATTTCTGTAGTTTCACACAGTGCAGGCTGAAATATCACCATTCAAACTGCAAAACTGCAGAACCCCTTTGTCAGAAGTAACTTTTACCCAAATGTTGACCAGGACAGACTAAGAGTCAGATTCACTAAGTGGCAGACTTACCTGAGACCACAATCTCAAAAATGCACTGATGAGAGTGGACAGTTCTGTGGGTGATCTACTAACAATGCATTCAATTCTAACACAGCCAGCCAGTAAAGAGTAGCAAAAAATCGCTACCAGACCCAAAGAATGAGCGAGTAATGTACCTACCAAAATAATACAGTGTAACCACAGGTTTTAGTGTTTCTCCGCTGAGGAGAGTCCATGTGTTTTTGGTATAAGGGTAAAGTGAAAATTTGCAGGGGATTTATAGGTAGGCATTATAGGTTTCTCTGGATAAATGTGATAAACCTGAAATAAGTGTGTAACATTTGAGCTGCATGATGTGCAGACAAACTTGAAACATTATTTCGAATGAGTTACCCTTACTCTGCCATGTATGTAAATCCATGCATTGCTTTTGTTTTCCTCTGAGGCAGCATGTATTTATGAAAGTCGATATCATATATCGATTTAAGTTGACAGACATTTCAGTGTTATATATAAGATATCTAAGGTTTAAAAAAAGCTAAAGTCACACTGCGTGTGCATTTAAAACATTGGACTCAGTAAAGAGTTACATGACAGATCCAAAGCTTTGGCAACGCTCTCAGAGCACCGAGCCATCCACCCACACCAGTTACATGCTTTTCCTGACAACATCCTCCCCTGGCATTTTGAATAAATCCACAGTCCTAGCAGCAACTATCACAGTCACTTCAGGCGCAAAAAAAGACATGCTTTTTACTGCACTGACTTCAGTGCAATTTGCAACAAATTGCCCGCAGCACACCTTAATAAATCAGATTTGTATGTTTCATTTAAATGTGCTCATCCCAAAAGTTTTGAGCTATCAGAGGGAAACTCCTAGAAATATACAATAAGGATACAAAAACTCTGTCCACGCCTTTCTATAGCTTTTTAAATACATAATACAAATTTGGCCCCATATTGCAACTATTAAAGAAGATATCAACAGTGATGTGGCTACCAGAGAACATATGTGTTAATATATTTCAGTGACCAATTACTTAATTACTGTTAAAATGAATCTCAAAAAGATTTTCATATTTTTTAAAAGGAAAAGAAATCTACCAAGTTAACTTAAACCCCATTTGGAAAAAAGGATATCATAAGGATGCACAACAATTTCAACATGCAACAAAAGAGTTGCAGAATGTTTCTCCATGCAGGCACATACATATGGACATGCAGAATAATGAAGCACTGTTTCAGCTGATTAAACCAAAGTCTTTCTCTCATGATCACACAACCTATTGACTTTGATTATTTTAATGTGTAAATCCAGTAAAGTGTCAAATGTAATCCCTCTCAGACTTTTACATCAGCCCTGAGAAAAATAAGTCTTCTTGAGTTGTCCTCTTGTTGTAACTCCCATCTTTTTCTGCACCCTCTCATTCTTCTGTTCTTACTGTTCTTGGTTCTCCTCTTTCAGCACAGTATATATCCTTGTATCGAAATGGTGGTCTTGTGTGTGTGTGTGTGTGTGTGTGTGTGTGTGTGTGTGTGGAAACTGAAAAGAAATTGGAAATCTGTAATGGATGTAAACACCAGATTCATAACAGTCCAGTATGGCTGTAATGCCTTGGCTAATGGACTGTAGTAAACCACTGAGGTGTTTCATACAGATTCCACGTTCACTTTGAGAGATCATTTGCAGTAAAGGAGTTTTTTTTTTCCTTGAAATCTCTGGTCATTTTTTACTTTAATTTATTAAACTTCATTTCCTGTGTATCGTCAGGTTAATATCTGTTCTGTGCATGCAGCCGATCCTCTGTTATTCCAAAAAATCGATTTCATTCACTAAGCAATCTAATTATAAGATATAATTAACATTAAGAATGGATATTTTGGATTATACTGAATAAATGTTGTGTGGAATCTGGCTAGAGCGAGCAGGTATCTTGTACTGTAGGTCAAGTTAATAATGTATCAATTTGAAGCTAAATTAATTGACTAAAATAAATGGCCCTGTTGTATGACTTGCATAAACACACTTGCATTTATAAAACCTAAAAAATGTGTGCCGTTAGCTAGAAAACACAGCAGTTTTGCCAAGGGCTGAATTGAAACCCATGAAAATGTACATTGTCAAATACTCAGCGGTTAGCATGGTGCACAGCTCTGGCCTTCTGAGCCAAAAATCAGCTTATTCAGTCACAGTCTCCAAACATGCAAAGACTGTCCTTGAATATTAAGATGATCATTCAAAGAGGATGGACAACAAAGGCTTTAATACATTTACCCTGCACGCGGCCTTCACACAGCCTCAAAGTCAAAAATAAAAAAATTAAAAAATAATGCAATGTTAGTTTTGTTATGCATGAGGAAAACAAGCACGCTGTCGAACAGAGTGAGTTCTATGAATACATTTTGATTGGTGCACACTGTACCGAGCTGATTCTTCAGACTCGTGATAAAATAAATCTATAAGCCAAGGTGTATCAATCATTCACACACTATGATCTGAGATTGAAAGAGATGGAGATGGAGAGATGCTCTTCATGACACGTACTGTAGCTCTAACTTCAAGTCTCATTCATTGTACCACTAAGGCAATCACTCAGTGGCTCGGGTTCAGTGGCTCTGTCTAAGTATGTAAGCATTGTCCCATTAATGCCTAGATTGAGTGGTTATGCTTCCTCATCTGAGACTAATGGACAGATTATAACCTGAGAGAGAGAGATGACTGATTATTATACCTGCCTGTAGCCCCTATGTCTATTTCTTCATCACCCATATGTCTGTTCCACTGATTCTCCTCTCTGTCAATTCAATTCAAAAGCACTTTATGAGCATGAAAGCTACACCGTCTTGGCAACTTTGCACATAAGTGGTGTGCTGAAGAACCGTACTACAAATGAGTGTCATTTCTTTGTAGCTAAAAGGTGAACCATCCAACAAAGAAACAAACAACAGCAGGAAATTACACCATCAATTAGTAGCACAGAACAAGAAGAGCTAAAAAAAAATGTGCGGTGGTTTCGCTGGTCCAGACTATTGAGTTTTATATAATTTGTACGCGAAGCTTCCGATATTTAATTAGGCTACTCTCGCTACTTAATTCCTACTTAATCTTATTTTGTCAAAAAATGTAATATCACCCACTGCAGCCATCCTTCTAAACCTACTGTAGGACTTTATAAGAGTCTAAGTTCTGTCCATATTCTAAAAAAACACAAATGTTTGGCATTTTTCCATCATTAGAACAACCTGTTTGGATAATTAGATCATGTTTCTTATTTATTTATTTATTTGCTCTTCAGTCATCAGTCTAATATTTCGTTAATTATGATATGTGTTGTTGGAAAGAGGGAGCAAACGTTACTATGGTTACTAAAGGTATATTTAGGAGTTTTTATTTTCTGCTGTGGGTTTAGCTAGCTATATTCTGAATGCTGCCTCTGACCATTAGATCATCTGTTAAATTAGAAAAAGGGCAAAAACACAAATCTGTTCACTAAGACACTGTAAGAAAAATTCTGAAGTTGCATCATTATTTACATGCTTAAGCCACTTAAGTAATAGAGTGTGTATTATCCAAATAAGTTAGTATAAAATCAGTCATATACAAGTAAAAAACTGCTTTTTTTAAAAAACTTTACCTGCATAATTCACTGTGTATTTTAATATGTTTGTTAAGTTTATGACCATTGGGGCTAATTTTTCAAAAAGTTCACTTGTTATATTTTTAGCGACCTGAGGTCCCATTACAGTGAACTGATTAATGATAATGATTATAATAATTTTATTTTGTTGAAAGGTTAACATTTGAAATAGGATATTAGGGACGTGGCCTTTGATTGCTATGTGGCCGTCAGTGGCGGTTAAGGAGCTGTCTGCTAGACTACCAAAAAAACATAAACAAAAACAAAAACAATCTATATAGCTATATTAAATATCTTAATATTAAACATTTTGTATTAAATGCAGTTATTTACACTTTTTTTCTATTTATTATGTTGTATGTTATTTATATAATCCTTATACTGTTATATTATAT